ATATTCATTCTCATAAATCTCCTGCAAATATAAACAAAGAATGGGAAATATTGTAGAAGTCTGCTACATACAGCCACAAGCCAAGCCAAACAACTCAACAGCCATCCTGCTATTATTTACTGATCACAACAGGACTACACAGCACTTGGCTGGCAAACACAAAAGAGGGCAGCACTCTTAGAACATACTGACTTACATGTGGGCAGATGCTGAACCTCAGGCTGAGCCTCATTAAATTTAGATGAGCCCAATTCAAGAAAGAGATCTAGAACAAATTATGTAAAAGCTGTAGAGTACACAGTCCTCATGTCTGAAACTGCCCTTTTTACATGTTGCCACGTTAACTACTGTACCATCATTTTTAGGAGAGTATTTAAGTGCATACAAAGTGTCAGTTTTAAAAACATAAAATTGACAACAATACTCAAAATACAGTGTTAGATCTTCAGAACAGACTGGACTACCCAGCAGCAGTCCAGTCCCAAGCAGCAAATTCAGCAGGGCTCTGAGCTCAGTTACTCTCTCTGAGACCACAGAACTCCAGTCTCCTGAAAGAGGTGTCAGAAAAGCGGAGCAATGCAGAGAACATCACTGTTACCACATGCCACGTTCTGCCTGGGAGAGAAGGCAGAGGTAATGCTCATTACTTGCATGCAACACTGTGGTTATGCAATGAGGCTCTTTCTAGACCTGAGCTGGTTTCTCCGCACATTGTTGTGTGCCTATACTAGCTTTGGGACCTCTGCTCATCCCTTCATTGTGCGCTGTTGCTTAATGCTTTGTGCTTTCTCAAGGCCACAGGGATGAGGGGAAAACAGAAAGACACGAAATGCCACTTTTACTTACAAACTGCAGTGCTGTCCAAAGCAAAGCTGACTCAAAGTTCTTCCACAAGTCTGTGCAGAACTGAGTTTTGCCACTCAAAAGCGGAGAGCTCAGGGCTCCTTTGCTTTGACACCAGGATGGCGTTAAAAGGAAGAGGAGCTGGATGGTACAGGCAAGGAAGGGCCTTCCAGGTGCCCCATCTGCCACAGATGAGCCTGGCTCAAGAAACTCACTGGTACTAGACACTGCCATCCCAACAGGGGCAAGTGCTGCCCATAATGCTTCAGCTCCTTCCCTTAAGAGCAGCAGCAGCCTTTAGCCCAGCTCTAAGACTCTAGCACAGGCCTAAAATCAAATGTCTCCCCAAACGTACCTTTTTCCATATTGGGACAGATGCTTTTAAGGTATTGATGCAGTATGTTACAGCCTCAAGGGATTCTGCTCTGTGTGGAGAGGAAACTGCGATAATTACACTTGCTTCAGTTATTGGAACCACACTAGGGAGAGAAGAGGAACAACAGCAGCTTTAGCTAATGCTTAACATCAAGAGCACCCAAAAGTTGTGACCATGTCACATCAGTATTCTGGCCACACGCTCTCCTGACTCATTCATACTGAGCAAGTGTCAAGCCATGTCCAAAAGATTATACACTTTTTAAAAGAAAGCAAGCCACAATCGAAATCAGTACCAGATGTGAGAATTCCACACTTCAGAATAAAGCCACCAGACATAGGCTTTTTTCTTCCATTCTTTCTTTTTTAAAAATAAAGTCTATGGAATTAAGTGGGGAAAATTGCTAACTTGCAACAATGCATAGGAAACTCACTGGAAGTTGGCTTAATAATGAACAGTAACAAACTAGGAGCAGCCAGTTCTTATCTGAAAACCTAAGAAATCATCTCAGTTTGCATAAGAATTTGTGAAAGAAGAAATTGAGGGCCTCAAACTATGCAGATTTGCAATGAAACTTAATTTTTGACAAATTCTGATTTCAAATTATGGAATTTTTCCTGCTTGGTGTGTTGTTTTCCAAACTTAACAGATATAGCACAAGGTTTTGTTCTGCTCCTCACAAAGGTAGTATTGTCAAAAGCCGTCTCCCAGCCCTCCCTCTATAGTAAGACTCCTCTGGCAAATAGCTCATAGGAAAATATCTAAGCTTAAATGCTTTGAGCTGCCCTCAAGAGAATCACTCTCTCTGTTGACTACTGAGGAAATGTAAGGAAAATACCCCTCAGAGCTAGTACTACCCTTTGCAATCATCTCCCAAGTTCCTTCTGCTGAGAGAAAAGGAAACAAGACTCTGCAACTCCTGCTAGTTTCAGTGAGAAACCTGATGAACAGTGAAGACTCAGGAGTATGTCAGACACTAGTATTCCATGTTTTGAACCCAACAGAAAACGCTTATCGAAGACTCAAGGCACAACAGGAGGCTGTCTGGCAAGCATGGCTGGCAATTACAATGCCTCTCCCCTCTCTATAATCTAAGCTTTCAGGTTCCCTATGGCATAATTTGACTTAAATCTGACAATAAGAACATTCTGTAGCACCTCAATGGAAGAGAGAAGAAAAAAAGAAAATGCTGCCAACTTCACATCATTAAAAAAAGACAAACCATCAGCTTCCCCTTCCCTGGAATGAAATCTCAATCCCTTCTCTCCACTTTCAAACCATCACACCAGCATCAAGGATCCTGCAAGCTAAACGTGGACTCCAGCAAACACTACCAGTACATACACTTTTGAAAAGACAATTTCCGAAAGTTAGCTCCGCGGCAAGAGCTCAATCCTGCAGCCAGCTTTGCTGCGTTACAGTTTATAAAGACTCCTGCACATCCTGCAACTATGTAAGCACAGCCGTGCACCAGACAAGGATTAATACTCCACTTGCAGAAGGACGGGGTCTGGCCATACATACCCAAGTCTATGGTGCACTGCAATATGTTTGACTGATGGCCACTTCTGTCTAACATCTCTGCAGATTTTCTTTATTTCAGTTTCTGCCATTGAAGTATATGCTTCATATTCTAAGTGAATCACTTTTTTTCCTTCAAAATTATTTCTGGTAGTACCTAAACACAAATGATTTATCAACCAAAAGCACTGAGTAAATATATGTAATAATAAATTATATATAAATACTGAGAAAAAAACAGGATCTCCTCTTACGGTCAAGGTCAGTACTGTGCAAATATAAACAACCTTCCCTAATCATGGCTGTGTAAAGAGATTCTTTGAACAAGACAAATCTTTTAAGATACAGGAATTTAGTTTACACATTATACAAGCCTGCAGTCTGTAATGCCCAAGGCTGGGATATCTTCTGTAGTAACTGCTAAGGTGCTAATTATTGGTCTGCCCATGCAATGTTTCAATGCTCAGTATTTAGAAACCCAATAGCACTAAGGTTTAAGCACAAAGGAGTTTCAAGGTCACCATATTCATTAAACAATGGGACAGCGTATCAGCCTTGACCTCCACCAGCCCATGGGTAAAACTGCTTTATTTTCAACCAAGATCTGAGTTGCAGGAGCTTTCATACAGATGTGGACCTATGGTTTGCATAACCACAACAACCCACTTCCCACCTTGAACAAGCTGGGGCCAAGGGGATAGGGGAATAGCTGCCAAGCCATCCCGTACTCTAGAGCTGCTGTTCGTTCAGCCCTAGGATAGCCACACCAGCAGGGAACGTTCTCACCACTTTGTCCCAGTGCAACTGTTTAAAAACTGCCATGGTCTTGTTCTAAATAATTTAGAACATATTTTCTAAATATCCTAGGTTCTGTCCAGGAACTTATTATTTGAGAAGCACAAGTTTGGGGTGTTGACAACCTAGGTTTCATTTATTAGACTACTAACACGTCCAGAGATCCAGCTCAGAAATATTAAACTCACCAATGAACACGGACACTGCCCCACAGTATGGTGAAATGACCAGCTCTGACACTTCATCTACAGAGAGCTTTTCAGACTTGAGCTTGATAAAATCTTTTGGCACATCTTCACATTCATCCATAGCTCACTAGAAAAGCTGAAACCAAACCAGACTCTGTTGTTGATTTTGGCGATACCAGTGCTGGCCAACTGCGCTTTATCCAGTGCTGATACCCCAATTCATGCAGAAAACATGAACCATCTACTTCCTCACACCAAGGGACCAGTCTTCATGGCAAATTCACTTCTCAGCAGACTTGCTGAGAGAGTATTAACTGCTTATATCAAGCAACAACCAGTTTTTTAATGCACACTGGTTCCTTCCTGGTAGGAAAGTCTGGTCCAGTAGGATGAAACCAGAACTAGTCTGAGGCACCAGTGTAACAGTACAATCAACCAGCATGGACCACTGTGCTAGTAAATCTGTGTGAAGATTGTCAGCTCCTCCTCCCTATTTTATCCTGAAATCAAACACAGTTTAAACCAGGTATTTCTGATAAACATGGATTAGAGTTCTAATCTTTAAGTTTAATATGCTCCTCAGGACATTCAGGACCTCATACTATCGGTCTGTTATGGTGACACAGGAGACACTTCTAATTTCTCTGAGTAGAAACCACTCACCAGTTCATCTAAGAATAAGTAGGAAAAGAATTATTTTGAGCAGTAGCAATGGAACAAGCTGCAGCAAATATATGCACTGGCACTTGAGAGCATGCAAAGAAATGAAGCTACGCTAAGGACACCTGTTCCTTTGACAGCGGAAAACAAAACAAAAAAAAAGGGTTTTTTTTAAGCAGTAGTCAATTCTTTTTCTGTATCATCTTTTCTGTTAAAAAGTGGCAGAAGCTTTTTCATTATTACCTTATTTAGGCAAGCTGGGTACATACTGGCAGCCAGAAACAACTATGAAAGAATAACAAGACCTAAAACCCAAATTCAAAACAATGCCTGACCTCTCTGGCATTTACTGCATACGTGTTAATCATTTATTCGTGCACCAGCTTATAGTTTCTGGACAACGCAATGGTTCTCTCCAACAGGAAACACAAGTTATGCTCTCTCAAAACAGCACTGGGGTGGAAGGAGAAAACTGCAATCACATCTCTGGATCTAAACAAAAAACCCCCTTAATTATTGGAACATTATACAGATTCCATGAGGTATTTTAGCATGGGATGACAGTCCACAGGAAACTAAGCATGAAATGATACCTACCTAACAGAACCTGGGTGGGTTCAGCCTCCACTAATTGGTGGGATGACAGCAACCTCGTCTCCGGGCTGCAGGACCAGGAGCTGATCTCCAAGAAGCACGTACTCCTGCCGAACAGCAAAAACCACTTGATCCCGGATGACAGCAAGCCTGAGGGGGATTGGCAGGAGCACAGATAGGTTTCTACATAGAGTGTTTGCATTTAACTACGAGATTTCATTAGACAACAAACTGTCTAGGGGAGCTGAGGTAAATACCACTGAGACTTATGCAACTTAGCTTCACGTACACTTTGAAAATTACAACAAATGCCCTCCTCCTACTCTTGGATTTTCTTGTGGTGGCTAAGGAGACACCAACTCAGTATCTAGTTTTCAGAAGTTGGGATCTGGATTTGTCATCGTGCAAATCAATGTATACCAGACCCACTTCAGCAGCTTCTGACAAAGTAGGTAACTCAAGAGGTAGCACCCATACAATTTGGGATTAGAAGGAAATGTTCCCCTGATTCAGTCTGGCTGGACAGGATCAATTTTCTTACATGGCCAGAAGCATTGTGGGACGCTGTCTGAGATCTCATGATGATTTACTGGTCAAAGAGCTGCTCTTGTGTAACCTCACGGTTTATGAGGCTTTGGGTCTTTTATACTTACAGGTCTGAAATTTGCTACTGGTAATGAGGGGTAACAGAACTAAGGTAGATATGGTGCGTTTTCTGGCAGATCATCTATATATTTTTTTGATTTCACATCTATGAGATGTTGCTGTGAGAGTCCACAGCTCTCGATACCATGAGGCAGGGAGTTGCTTTCATGACTAAGTGCAATCACACAGTGCTTACGAGGGCGATGCTAGTAAGACACCAGAAAAGGCATGCCAATATTTTACTTTAGAAGGTGCAGGTGTGGTAACTGTTATTGTTTGAGACTACAAAATGTGGCACAGACAGCGGACAGCTGTATTGTCTAGAAGCAAGTAGGCACCCCAAAAGGGTGCAAGTAAAAATCATCTCATTTCCTCCCAGCCAGATACACAAAAGTAGGCAAGTCACAGAGTGAGCAGAACACAGTAGCAATGACTCAGAGGGCACACTGAAGGGAGGAACTGCATGAAAGTAAAGCAAGCCAGTGAGGAACTGAGTGCAACTATGGAAGTGAAGTGCCCATTAGAAGGATGGGCTCTAATTAATGTCACTTGCAAGTTAATTCATTGGGGAAAATGGGTGGAACAGAAGAGCACTCTCAAGTATGCTCAAACTGCAGTCTGAATATCCATTTGCAATGTGAATAGAAGTCTGTGGTCAATGCCCTGCAATTAAGCTGATTTTTTCCAGAAAAGCTAGGAGCAGAAGCATTTTCCAAGGTCACTGTGAAGTAACTGCACATGCAAGAAGTACTGCCCGAAGTCATCATTCATAAAAGGACAAAGTTGACAAACTATGGCAAACCAACCAAAGGTGATGCTGCCGCTTCTGACAGGAGTAATAGGCTGCAAAGTAAAACACACTACTTTCCTACTGCCTCCTCCCCAAAACACACTTGGTCTCAATTCTCTGTTAGGAAAAGGCCTAACATTTGGTTAGAGCTTCTCATTTGGAAACAGATGCCATTACTAAGTAGTTAGAGTTTTTTTCATGGCCTTTGACAGTAGATGTAATAAAAAAGGGTGGTACCTAAAGGAAGACTTCGGCACCTAAGTCTAAAGTTATGGAAATTCCAGTGCATTCAACAGTAAATCCTGAGGACCTCAACCTCTGTTATACCTTACTTTTTTTTTTTTTTTACTCCCCCCTTGAAAACGGTGGTGGTGGTGTCTATGAGGCTCATTCCTGACAGGACTGAGCACATTCCCTCAGCCTTAACCTGAGGGGGCACTTCTGCTGACACCTCCAAAGAGCACCAGCGCTGTCCTTACAGCACACAGCTAGCACTCGCTCAGGACCAGACTCCCTGTGAAATGCAACCAACAGGGTTGTTTTTTTTCCAAGCAGAGGAGGTTGAAAGTGGCTAAGCCTATTTCCTATGCAAGGGTTGAGTGGCTGGACACCTGTGACAGGGCTTCAGTTCTCTTCCTGACCTTCCTTCCAGAGTGTGCTGTTAGCTCAGACCAACGGTTAACAGTACACCTGCACCTTATCATGAATTTATTTATTGCCCTGGCTGTGCTTGGTCCCTCCTTGAGTCATCTCACCTTCTCCACAGGTGAGTAACACAGCTCAGTTTTCATGTGCAGCAAGTAGAGTTACAGCACCACTGCCCTCCTGGACAATGGGCTGCATGCCTTAAAGTACCCCCTCAGGCTAAACTTTTGGGTGCGCTTATTGGACTCAGTCTTTCCTTGTGTCTACATAAAACTACAGCATTTCCAAGTGGCAAAAACACAAAACACTTGTTGCAGGTTACAAGAACAACGTAATGCCAGTGGTTTTATGGTACCAAAGTACCGATACATGATCCAGCTCAACTCTAAATGCTGAATCTGTCTTCACCAAAAAACCCCAAGCACGTTAAACTTTGTGCACCTCAGCAGTAACTTTCCCGAATACCTTGGGTGAACCTTGACGATCTCCTCCCAGAGCT